TCTTGCATTATTTACACTATTTTCTTGTTTAATACTGTAAAGCTGCTTTGACACAATATGTATAGAATAAAGCACTATATAAAATATAAATAAAGGTGACTTGACTTGACTTGTATTTATCTATCACAATTTTTTTTCCTGCCACAGAATAAAAAAAAGGCAATTGTGAGTTAAAAAGCAGAAAATTGTGAAATATAAATGAGCAATTCTGAGGGTAAAAAAAAAATAAAATAAAAAATTGCAAGTTTATATAGAAAAAAGAAAAGGAAAAAGTCCCAATTATGAGATAGAAACCCAGAATCTTGTGAAAATTGTGAGATAAAAAGTCGCAAAACCTTTTTTTTTTCTACCCAGTGGTAGAAACATGCTTCCATAATTACTGAATTGAATACATACTGTATATGCTGCCTCTAAAAAAACCTGTGAAAAGCCAATAAGTTTGTTTGAAAGAATCTTCTGATGAATATATGATAAAAATAATAAACATACTAGGATGTTTTAGTTCCATAAAATGCACAGCTCTGTTAATCAGCCATTTTTGTGATTTGTTCTTTAAAATTCCTGTCAAATTGTAGTCGGATGATGCAGACTTGTCAGTCACATCCCCAAGGCAGGACTCCCTCTATTCAACATATGCACTGGGAATAGTTATATCAGGTCGCGGGGAGTCAATCCTGTTACAGATGAAAATGTAGCTCTTATTGATCCCGCAGGCTTTTATTGATTTGAGTCTTTTCTTGTTTCGTCTTCCCCTCCTGCATGTTCTACTTTTACCTTTTCCTTTCTTTCATTCTCCTGTCATTCTCTCTATTGTCTAACTCTTGTCTGCTCATTCGGTCTCTCTCTCTCTTTTTCTCTTTTTATTTTCCTGTATGGATTCCTCAGTCAATTTGTTTACCGACCACTGTAACTACATCCATTAGTCTGACCCTAAGAGCTTGAGGACAGCCCTGTGACAGCCATCAGACTAATGCAGCTCTGACACAATAATTACACAATGACCTAAAGAAAGGGCCCTGCTGTCCCGTTGTATGCGTGGCAAGCAAACCTGGTTACCACGTCTAAGGTTTTGACCACTGCCACCCCCATAACCCACAAGCTCCAACAAAGCCACTCGGAGACGCATGTGTTTGTATGACAAAGGAGAAATGAGGCTGTATGTTGATCACTTCTCGTTTTACTAACAAGACTGATCAAATGACCCTATTAGTTTTACTTGCTTTTGGCAGAGCCAATGTTTTCAAAGTTGTTTCCTCTGTCTTTGTATCGCTTCTAAAAATCTTTAAGTTTCAGTTCTGATTTAACTTGAATCAGTCGAATTCAGTGATGCAGGATGCAAGTCTATTATAATGAAGGCCTTGTGTATTAGTGATTTTTGACATAGTAAAAAGATGTTGGTAACCATGAAAGCAAAATTATAGATAAATTATTTTATAATAACCAAGTCCAAGTTTTCAACACTAGAAATATGCACAGCAATTTTAATGTATACTGTTGCGTTCAATTCAGTGCAAGTATTTAATTAAGACTTGAATGACAAATTACTTAAGTTAATAATATAATTAATATGTTTTTTTATAAATGAGATATTTACAAATGTTATTTGTTTACTTAAAAAAAATTTAAGTTTTAATTATTAACCACACAAACAAGCCTTATTATTTTGTACAATTTGTTTTTTAACATGTACAAAACCCTATGTCTTCATTAATTTTATTTTATTGCTTTCATAAAGCATTTCATAAAGTTTTTATAAATTAGATATTTACAATTGTTGTTTATTTATTTATAAAATTAAAGGTTCTACTATTACACAAACAAGCCTTTTTATTTTGGACAATTAATTTTTTAATATAAACAAATATTTTATTTTATTTTATTTTATTTTTTTGCTTTTATAAAAAGACGGCAACAACAGTGTAATAAAAATACCAGTGCCCATAAAATAATTACATTTATTAATAATAATAATCAAAATATAATAAATCATTTTTCCACCAAGCAATATAGTTCATTAGTCTAACTGTGTTTAAATAGTAGCATGGTAGATTGATGTTAATATTCAATTGATGTTCAGTCACAAGTGTGTTTTTCAACTATTTTACAGTGACTTTGAATTGGCAACTCATCCACCCTGCTGTGAGAACATCTTGTTGTAAGAACATGCTGGTCTGTTTGCTGGTTTTACAGCAGCTAAGACCAGCAGACCAGGACGGTTAGGTTTTATATTAATTTCCATCTGTTTTTAAGTGACTGTAAATAATCATGATACTTGAATGGTTTCATCCTATTTTTTGGCAAAATAGGGCACAATGTACTGTGTTAATATGGATGAATTTTCCATACGGATTTTTCACAGGTGCTTTACCTGTATTTTAATTTGCACACTGCATTATGTTTTAGAGTTCAAACACATGTCTGGAAACTTAACGTATAGTGTCCTGGCACAAAATTACCAGTACCTTTTCTCTTTTTTTTCTGCAGATTTTTTCTCACAGTGTAGCATCCAAACATGTCCTTTGTGGTTCCATTTTCACATGCGTGTCTCCTTGTACTCTGATCTCAGTCTTTACCTCTGCTATGAGGTTTGAGCCCCTCTCAGTACTCGCTAATGACGGACAGCTGAAGGCACACTCTCAGGACTCCAATCAAATTTACAGCCTTCTAATTGGATTAGAGGAAGCCGGGGGGAGGGCTTTTATATCTGTCTTCCTTTCTCTTTTTGTCCTCTTGTTTGCGCTTTGGCCTGCGCGCCAGGGTGGCTTGCAGTGGTCTGAGTGATGGACAAAAGGAGGAGCTGTTAGCGGAGCTGGGGGTTTGAGCCGAGCCAACGAGGGCCATATCTGCCACTTTGCCGCAGAGGCATGGCTGCTGCAGTCCATTGTGATGGGTGACAATGTTTTGTCAGCAGGCTGAGGATCTGTCCACAGACCGGCTGAATGATAAGATCCTTTTCACGGATGACATAGAGAGCGGAAAGCAAAAAGGCAGGGCAAAGAGTGAAACATCACTTAGCTCATTCCCGCACTGCCAGTGCATCCATTGTCCTGTAGCACGAGTTCAACACCAGACAAAGCATGTCACTCCTTGTTTCTTGAGTGCAAATAGCAGAACTAAAAATAGAAACGAACATCAACCAGAGCAGAAATCGTACATTAAGGGATGCTGAACAATAGAAATTTAAGTGTATTAAAAAAAGAAGGATTTTACAGCCATTTCGTTATAAGACGAAAAAAGACAAAAAAAGTACGCTATGGTAAATAATACTTTTATTCTGCAAGGACCAATTAAATGGATCAAAAAGTGATAGAAGAGACATTTAGAATGTTACAAAATATTTCTGTTTTAAATAAATGCTGTTCTTTTGGACATTCTACTCATCAAAGTATACTGAAAAAATGTCTCCACAAAAATATCCAGCAAACTCAACAGACCTGAACCCCAGAGAGAATCTTGTATTGTCAAGAGGAAAATGAGAAACAAGAGACCAAAAAATGCAGATGAGCTGAAGGCCACTGTCAAAGAAACCTGGGCTTCCATACCACCTCAGCAGTGCCACAAACTGATCCCCTCCATGCCACGCCGAATTGAGGCCGTAATTAAAGCAAAAGGAGCCCCTACCATGTATTGAGTACATGTACAGTAAATGAACATACTTTCCAGAAGGAATGCTTTCCAACAATTCACTAAAAATGTTTTTATGAAGTATTCTATTTTATGTTCTTATGAAGTATTCTAATTTGTTGAGATTGTGAATTGGTGGGTTTTTGTTAAATGTGAGCCAAAATCATCACAATTAAAAGAACCAAAGACTTAAACTGCTTCAGTCTGTGTGCATTGAATTTATTTAATACACGAGTTTCACAATTTGAGTTGAATTACTGAAATAAATGAACTTTTCCATGACATTCTAATTTATTGAGATGCACCTGTATAATGATTTCGGAAAGATCAAGTGACACTGAAGACTGAAGTATTGATGCTGAAAAATCAGGAATAAAATATATAATAATATAATTTAAAATATAATACAATAGAAATAATTTAAGTTGTAATAAAAAAAAAATCTGTATAGTAATGGAAAAGTCAAACCATTACTATACAGATTGGTTAGGTTTTATATTCATTTCCATCTGTTTTTACGTGACTATTTGATATTTGAATGTTTCATCGTATTTTTTTCAGCACTGAAAAACACGACACAATATACTGTTTTAATATGAATGTTAAGTTCACTGACATTTCTTTTAACCCTAAAACACAAAGCAATGCATGACTCAAAATACATGTAAAACACCTGTAAAAAAAAAAAATCAATAGATCTTTCATATTAGCACTATTAACACATATGTGAACTATTTTTTACAGACTTTTCTTATAGTGTAATATTTCCCAATATTACTGTTTTTTACTGTATTTATATCAAATAAATGCAGCCTTGGTGAACATAAGAAACTAAAACATAAAAAAAATGACCAACCCCAAACTTTTGAACAGTATTGTGTATTTGCAGAATTCACAGGTGCTTATTCTTAAAATTAACAACCCCTTGAAATACATACACATGCAATCGACTGGCCGCATGGTGACTGTCTTCCTGTCAGTGCTTTGTTCTGTTTCCTTCCAGGTTTTATGATCAAAGTGTGAAGAAAAGGCCATCAGCACCTCAATTAAATTAGTTTGAGAGGTTACATAGAACAGCCATTGGCGACCACAGCTTCAGTGCTGCTTGCGGTGCATGTGTTCATGTCTGTCAGAGCGAGTGGATGTAAACGCACACGCGAGGGCCTTGCTTTGCCCCGATAGAGAGGTGACAGCGAACACACTTGTCACTTTCTGCATTGTCAGCAGTGTTGCTAGTGTTCCTGACACTCCAGCATATGTTTTTTGGGCTGGTCTGTGGGAATGGGCAGGAATAGCTTCCTCTATCAGTTAGTTCACACAGGATCCTGTCACCTTCCTCATCACACACCTAACCGCTGCCATTCTTATCCCAGCAGGGCCCATGGTGATCTGCATGCCACTATATGGACACTGTCCATGCTGACCACAGGACCAGAAACCCAGAGCACTGCGTGGGGCACCATAGATAAGTGCACTCTGCTGCCTGAAAGCTTAAAACAGGGACTTAAATTAAGTGTAAGTCATTAAAAACTTTATACAATAAGCAATGATTGGTACTTTTGACATTCAGTGGTACTTTTGACATTTATTTTTAAGTACATATGCATAAAATGAAGATGAAGCCATTTTATTTTACATCAGGGTAGTCCACCATGTCCGGATCACATGACCAGCTGATTAAATAACCAGCTATGAAGTAGATTAATAATTGACACAAAAATGAATAAATTTCACAAACCCCTGGGGTTAATAAAGAGCTAATAATTAATTGGCAAATTAAAAACATTATTTAATTAATTAAAAAAATATAAATAATAAAAAATGTAATTAAATAATTAAAAAATAAAAACAATCAAAATAAAAGTCTTACTAAAAAAATAAATATTTTATTTGTTTACCTGCATGTCACATGACTAGCTAAATAACCAGCTGTGGAATGAATTATTAATTGTCATGAAAATAAATTTCACAAACCCTATGTTCAATAAAAATATAATAATTTTACAAACCCCTTGGGTTCATAAAATGCTAATAATTAATTATTAAATAATACAAATTATTTAATTAAAAATAGTAATATAGTAAACAATACTAATTATTTAATTAAAAATAATCAATTATAAAATATTTAAAGTAAATTTAATTAAAAATAATTTTACAAATAAAAGCAAAATCAAAACAAAACAAATAAAATAAAATAA